CTTTCATACAAAATGGGTTTTGTCAGTGTGACAAAGTTAGATGAGAAAAAAATGGCTTTTTTTTTGGGTCTCTTATAAGAAGCGACAGTCAGACGAAGTATAGCTTCGAATTAATTCAATTCAATTCAATTCAATTTATTGCAGTCATGTGGTTACATGGATGGTTACAAGTTACAAAATGCATAAAGTACCTAACATGAACCCTGTCAGGGTATTGCAATATAGATAAAAATTACAAAAGAGAATTTAACAAATAAACAATTATCTATATATGAAGAACGTAATATTAATTAAACAACTTTTTTTTTTCTCAAAGCATGCATAAATGTCATCTGATTTCATTAATTTTATAACTTACTCAATTGATCTTATTTACAGTACTAGTTTAATTTTGTAAAATTAAAAAATATGTCAATAAAAATAAAATAATATGTCAATAAACATGATAATATAGTCTAGGTTTTTATTTTAAATAGGCATTAATTAAATAAGTGGGTATGCTCAATATTCAAACTGGCGTCTGTTTCCTTTCTTTTTTTTTAAGATAGTATAAATTGTTAACTGTAATAAATATATTATGATATGAAGCATATTATAAGCATGTAAGCATGTTATAGTAGGATAAAAGATTATGAGATAGTTATAGTAATACAAGCATGTTTAATATGTGGAGGTTTTTAATTGGCTTTTAGATATTGTTGTTTGTTTATTTAATAAGTCATTGATAGCTGTAAACCTTCCTAAAATAAAATAAATAAAGAGCCGTACCCTTAGCACGAACCAAATATCGAATTCGTAACGTTTGCGAGTAAGAAATGTCATTATCAAATGTGTATTGATTTTTAGTTCTCGTTACGTCCGTTCCGACGCTGCTGTTCAAGTTTCCATACAAAATTTGACATTTACATTTCGCACTCGCAAACTCTTCGAATTCGATATTGGTTCATGCTGGGGTTCTGTTTAACCTTAATCTTATATATAAAATTCTCGTGTCACAATGTTAGTTACCATACTCCTCCGAAACGGCCTGACCGATTTTTTTGAAATTTTATAAGCATATCCCGTGGGTCAGAGAATCGCCTACGATCTATTTTTCATATCCTTAAGTGATAATGGTTGTCCACCTGTAACGTTGTGTTATGAAACCTACAATGCGCCTTCGCGCCAAAATTTAAAATATTGGGTATTATAACATAGTGTTCTATGGGTTAGGAGGAATGTTATCCCAGGAAATTGATAGAACACTACGTTACACACCCCTAAATATTTTTTTGGACAATATTTATTTTTTTATAATGTGGTATTAAAAAATACATACAACCCTAAATTTTCTCTTTTACCACCCGCCCCTATTTGTATGGCGGCACGAAGTTCGCTGGGTCAGCTAGTAATCTTATATATGAGAAACTGGTCAAGTGTGTGTGTCGAATTGGCACTTGTCTTTCCATATAAAATAGGTAGATTTTATCCTGAATTTGATCAACCACGCGGGCATTATTGGGTGCTAATAACTGCAGATGCAGCCGGAACCAACGGCTCAACGTGCCTTCCAAAGCATGTAGTAGCTTTAGATAGATAATTTTTGGTCACCCATCCTATGACCGGCCATTGGGAAAGTTGCTTAACTTCAACGATCGCAGATTAAACGCTCAAATAACTGCGCAATCGAGCTCCTCAAACTGCATGAACACAATTATACTGTTTCCGATAGAAAACACGTGACAAGGTACTATTATCGTAAGTGCCCACGTGCATTAGTAACATGGTGCATTAACACCTCGACGCGACGTCAAAGCTTCTTTGATGCCGCAGATGTAATCTCCGACTATCTACCTAGTCTTAACGTTTCGTCACGAATGGCACTCTACTTTGATAACACTATTTTATTACTGGTTTGTATTAACATTTTTGCATGGTCGAGTTATAACTAAAGATCTCTTTTACTCGTAAATCTTAAAATGTCATATTACATCTATCAACCTTGATTCTTCAATTTTTTTTAAGTAAACATTTAACCACTCATCTTCTCAGACATAATAATTCCACAATAATGATCTTAATTTATGAAGATTTCGACGAAAATGCCAAAATAGTTCATCCATATTCTATTACAATCAAACCCAAATGTCAAACGCCGAACATTGTATTGCTGATGGAATCGTTAAAACGGCTACGCCCACGCATGCCCGCGAGCATATTTGGTGTATGTCATCATTTAAAGTGTAATAAATTTGCATTTAATTAATTTATTAAACATCTTTATGTTAATACAGAACCCGAATGATCGAAATGTGCATAATAGTGTCTGGAAATAAAGTTCTGCTGAGATTGAGGAACCTTTAAAAGACAGTTGTATTTCTTAATATTGTCATGGAATAATATTGAATTGTATTAAACAACTAGCGGCCCGCCCTCGCTTCGCTTCGGTGTAGAGCTGAAGTGTAGACTACAGTTTTTGTTCTCAGGCTTGTATTATACACAATGACATTCATCTATGATTCTTCTTATACTGGCATGCAAAGTCTCAGCCCGATCGGTTTAAAATTGACCAAAGAGTACTTTTTATATACGGAAAAAATTGACAAAGTTTCATACAAATTTTCATTCCCTATTTTATCCCCTTGGGGTTAGAATTGTTCAAAATCCTTTCTTAGCGATTGCCTACGTCATAACATCTACCTGCATGCCAAATTTCGTTCCGATCCGTCCAGTGGTTTGGGCTGTGTGTTAATAGATCACTATGTCAGTCACTCAGTCACCTTTTTTCAGTTCAGTTTTATATATATAGAAGACTAGGTTTAAGTAAAGATTGTAATTTCGTTTATCTTAGTGTTGTGATAGCGGTAAAATGATATAATATCATTTTCAATGAAATATTGGTGTAAGTACATGAAAAAATAGTGAGCAGAAAATTATAATTCAAACAAAATTCAAAAGAAGTATTAAGAAATTAGCACAGAAATACAAAAAATCCAATTTTTAAGCAAATAAAAACTATTTATCGGCTATTAATGTTACTTAGCGAGTTTCTGATATTTCAGCACTTTTGCAAGTGATCACGGAGTAACAGAAGAAATTGCGGCTTTCAGATTTAACGATGATAGCCAATAACATTTTAAATTAATGCAGAATGGTATCTACCTAAATACCTTAAACATATTTTTTAAGAAAACAAAATCTCCGACCAAATTCTAAAAGAACCCAATAGAGCACTCTGCTATGCGAATAGACAGTCCCATGTGTATTTCCCAGAACAGGATTCCTTGTAGTTCTCGCGGGTCCTTTGATTAACTTTGATCTAGGTGAGTGCAAGGTGGCGAGATACCCGCTAATGGATTGTAGTCGACAAAGAGTTGCCACAGAAGCCTCCAGCCTCCACCTGAAACCATTTATTGCTCCATCTCTTTGTCCGACGCGTGAAAAAGAATGTGATACGATCGCATTGTTGCAAACGAAACCTTTTCAGCTTTCGGGATATCACGTTGTTTTTCGCGTGTCTACTTAAAATTATCATTTGATTGTGGTCTAACTATAATGGTCATTATTTGTTTCTTAGGTTTTCACGCACATCACTCATTAAATAAAACTAGTCTTTACGGGTTAATGCACGAAACTTTATTTATTTATTGACGTTTCGTAGCCTTTACAGGCTACGAAAAGCCTCTCTTGAGTTTGTTTCGCCGGTTCTTCTCAGAAAGGTCTCCCAATTTTGGAAGCGGTGGTAGTTTACGGTAGTTAGGGTCAAATAAATAAACTCAAATTTATAAAAAAGAATTTTAAATAAAATACTTTATTAAGTAAATTAAATAATAAATTCATACATAGACAATAAAACTTAAAAATCGAACAATGAAATAACCGAACGCTCAATAAAAGTCTTTCGAAGGTAGCTCGACAAATTAAATAAAAGTTTTATTCTGACGACGAAGCGTGTAAAGGCTACGAAACGTCAATAAATAAATAAAGTTTCGTGCATTAACCCGTAAAAACTAGTTTTATATAAAGGTCATTTATCAAATGTTATCGTATAGTTTAAGCTCGAAATTAAAGGAAAGGAAACTGAAAGGTACTCAATATCTATAAATTAGACCGTCAAATATATTAGTTCCAGTAAGAAAATTAAATCTAAATTATGAATCAAATGGACTACCTCCGTGGCCGAGTGGTTTGTACGCCGGGTTTCATGGTGTCGCTGACTAGAGAGGTCCAGATGTTTGTGTGTGGAAACGAGCATTTGTACTCCAGTCATGGATGTTTAATATGTATTTCTATATAAGTATACTTATATATGTACAGTATATGTATTCTATCCGTTACCCTAATATCCCATAACACAAGCCTTACAGTGCTTACTTTGGGGCTAGGCCATGTGAGTGTTGGAAATATTTATTTATTATTATATTTATTAATATTATGAATGTAATTGAATGTTATTAATAAAGGCGTCGATTTTAGTTAAAATTACATTACCTGACCATGGAACTTGAGAACAGTCAGTGATGCAAAGATCAAAATGTATTTCTTGACCTACCTATTTCATTTTGTTTTTGAAACAATAAAATTTTCAATACTTGTATGCTCTCTCTATAACTTTCGTGCGTGCACTATGAAAACTTATTAGTTCTCTTGCTTTCCCAAACTCTTTGCTTTGTAGCAACTCATAAAACTCTTTATATCCACCATGGTCTTGTTAATTGACTTTATTTATTTGAAGACCATTCTTACTATTAACATTTTTAACATAATAAGATAGATTAAGACCTTTTTTTTATTTAGTTACTAACACTAGTGCCAAATCTAAAAACCACAGCAGAATAATTTTTGAGGGGAAAATGGGCCTAAGTAGGGGAAATCTGAATTGAGGCGTGGGGAAAGGAAATCATTAAAGTGGAAACACTGATCTTAAGTGACATGGGAGACAAAAATAAAGAAAAGGCGATAAATTAAATAAAAAACATTATTATTGGCTAATCAGTCGTTTGTTTCACTAGGGTTCAGACTTAGGGAGCGACGGGGAGGTGAGCGCCCTGGGGCTGGAAGCCGTTTTCGTCGGCGACGTAGTTGACGGTGTAGACGACGCCGTCTGGGCCGGTGTAGGAGAACTGGCCTCGGACCTCAATAGCTTCGTTCTCAGAGCCGACGTTCTTCAGCTGGCCTTGCTCCTGGGCGGAGATACCGTTGGAGGTTTCCACGCTGTTGCGAAAATGAAAAATGGTTTTGATCTCATTAAAACTGATAATACAAACATAGAAAGAAATTTTACTAATGTTAAGAGAACAATAGTGTTTTCTGAAGTAAAAGATGACTTACACATATTTGTATCCATCAACGCCAATGTTGTCGCTATCGTAGCGGAGGACCTGCGCGTCGGCGTCGGAGCCTTGGCTGACGGGGCCGGCGAGGGCGGCGACGAACATACAAGCGAAGACAATGAACTAGAGAACAGAGAGAACCACAATTAATAAAGAGAACAACAAATAGTATGAAATATATCAAATACGTCTACTAATTATTCAGTTTTATTAAAGTTGGTGCTGTTTCACTTTCGCATAAACGGAATGGCTGATTAAAAGATGAAATGTGACATAACTAAACATCTACGTAGTTTACATAGTCGTAAGGGCATATTATGTAGTCTTGTCAATCCGTAATTGAAGAAATGTTGTGACTCTCCTAAATTGTTATATTTTCCTTACAACAATACAAAACAAATAGGGATTATATATTCAATTCAATTCAATTTATTGCACTCATGTGGTTACATCGATAGTTACAAAATGTTTATAGTACCTAACATGAACCCTGTCAGGGTATCGCAATATACAGTACAGTTAAAAATAAAAATTACAAAAGCATCTAATTAATAAACAGTTATATAAAATTAAAAAAGCATCTAATTAATAAATAGTATATAAGGAACCTAATTTGTACCAAACCACCTAAATCTCAAATCATGCATAAATGTCATCTGATTCCATTTGTTTAACAATTTATCTTACTCAATTGATCTTATTAACAGTAGAAATATAATAGAAATGGAAATTCATTTATAAAATTAAATTAAATTTGTCAATAATTAAAATTAATAAATATGTAAATAAATTGGTATGAAGATGAAAAGGTAAGTAGATAATAAGAATAGCAAAGAAATATTTTAAAAATCTTTTTACAACCTTTGATGCCATGGGTTCAGAAGTTCGAAGTTCAAATGTCGAGGCCGCGTTAGTAGGAACAAATTTAATTTTAGATAGACTTTTTCGCGTTGAAATAAGAGTGAATTTGGTAGTAGAGAATGGTAATATAATCACTACCGCCCTAATCGTATCACAAGTGCAAAAGGTTTAATGACAGGTCAATGAGATTGCTGGATGATATATTATGATAAGCTGTACTTTTCTTCATGAAGATAAAGATTAGATGATAATGTCCTAAACTAATTTGATATTCAATATTTCTCTTTAGTAAAGAACAATAACTCTCAAACTATTAATAACCTTCGCATCACATTACGAAAGTTTATCGAAACAACTTACGGATTTCATTTTTGCTGTGGATGGGTGGATGTGTGTTTCTGTGAGGAATGTGTGCCGACTGTGATGTGTCTCGCAATTCAGCACACTTATATACAAATACGGCAAGCCTCAACTTCATTAGTTTGCACATAGACAAATGTCATTTTTTTCCTCTCCAATCGAACGTTGGTGTAGTCAATTTAATTCGGCGGCGTTATAATGTCAAATCGAAAGGATATATTGACAATAAAAATTGTGATATACGACCAATATTGCTTTATTAATTTATTTTTGTTTCGCATTATTAATCGATGCTGCTATTTTAAATGTAAAGATACTTATGATTTTATTTATTTTTTAAGCATTTAACTGCTAGATGTTTAAATCTAAGGAATAGTCAGTGCATTCGGTAGCATAATGGTCAGTGCATTCGCCCGGATAACGAAGGATGCGGGTTCGAGTCCCATCCGCTGCCTGGTCCGCGTGGATTTTTTTCTTGTAAAGATACTGTTACAAATTGTGACTGAGGATGGTTCTCACCAAAAACAGTATTTATTAATATGTACGTACTTATTGCACCTTTTGCCTAGCAAAGAAAGGACAATGCCCATTCCTCGTACCACATTGCGTCATACATATATTAACACCAAAAATAATGTTTTATTTATGTGTATTATGTACTGACTTTTAAACATTTTTTTTACCACATATAAAAAAACATATAGATGATTATAATTTTTATTATTTTTAAAGCAAGTAACTGCTTGATGTTTTAATCTAAAGAAAATATAACTAGAAAAAATTCCACGCGGACCAGGCAGCAGACGCGTCCCGTCCGTTTATAACTATAATTGCTATTACTTCTTTCAAATGTTTAATAGTTGTAAAAGTATTCATTTGACATTGTGGGTTACCTACAATGCGAAGAGATGGCGCTGCCTTGCAGCTTAAGAATGGCTAGAAGAATTTCGACGCGGTCCGTGAGGGCCGCGGTAGCATTATTGGTCATATAGATGATGCTAAATAATCAGCAATTACCTACTTCCGCAAAAAATTACATATACCTATATCAAAAGTTCATTCCCGAAATCTTGCATGTACCGATAACATTTCTCTGTTATTTCCGAGGTTTAACAATGAACATAAAAATCTTTGATCGCCTTATTAGCTTTAGCCGTTGTATAAGTAAATAAGTTTTTAAAGTATAAAATAAAATATGTAATTCTTTTTCATCGTTTTATTTTATCTCACCATTTATAGCGATTAACATACATTAATAGCGATTCGGAACGCTTAATTACGGAACTTTTCCGTTTAATGAACGAAAAGAACAGAACCAAAAAAAAAATTACGGAACCGTCAGTGTCAATGTCAATTTCGTTTTTGTTTTATGATGTTTGTTTTTAATCTTTCTACTCCATGGCAAGACCTTCTACCGGGGTATCGAGAAAAGATTTGCAAAGAATAGACGGAGGAAAGAAATATTATCGTAGAAACAAAAGGAGCCTGGGGGCCAATCGCCTAACGGAAATGCTTTGGGAAACGCTAACGCTTACGATTTTATATTGTTATTTCTAGCCGCCTGAGGTTTTCGAATACCTCACGCTCATTTTTTTTAATATTATATTACCAATGCAAAAGAAAAAGAAAGAGCGCGAGGCATTTGAATACCTCAGGCGGCTAGAAATAACAAAATAAAATCGTAAGCGTTAGCGTTTTCCAAAGCATTTCCGTTAGGCGATTGGCCCCCTGGTATGCCGATATCAATAAAGAAGTGGGCCGAAAACCCTGGTTTGCTGCATCGGATAGTTATCTACAAAGGAAATTCTACACTCAGATAAATAGGCTAAGATTTCGTCATTATAGATTTAAATCGCATTTGCACCTTAAGCGGATGATAACGTCACCAGTATGCACCGAATGCACATCACAAGAAGATCAAACACTGGACCACATCTTCTTTTCTTGTCCAGCTTTCAACATTCAGCGACTAATTCTAATAGATCGACTTTTAACCAAATCACAGATCATCCCGCCTTCGCTACAGAACATCCTAGCAAGCCAAGAAAACTTTTTACCTATTTACTAATTTATAAACTCGACACTTGGAGAAATATAATAAAACTACCTCGGACTGTACTACATTAAAATATGATGATTATGACCACTCCCGGAAAGAACGAAATATTTTATAATTTACTGAAGATTTGGCTTAAAACAAAATAACAGATTTGGCCTTGCCTATATAATAAAAAGACAACTAGAATTATTGACGTAAGACTTGGCAGTATGGCTTAGTACCTTCGCCTGTCCCAATGGACGAAATTAAACAACTACTACTGATGTTTGTTTTGTTTATTTGATCGATGTCAGGGGTTTTTGACGGGATTTCATCGAGTGTGGTTGGCGTCTTATTTTAATTATTCTTAAATTCGTTCATAGTGGATATTGTGAAATAAAATTGGTGTAATTTTGTGTTACAACTGTCTGCGTAACTGAAGAATTAGTAGAATCGTCAAAATATACGCTATTCCGGTCAAGTGGACGTGAGTATTTTATTGTAGTATTGACTACCTTACAGAAGCTTATCGAAAAGCCAGCTCGATACATTTCGTGCCAAAAACTTCAAGAAACATTAGAATGCGTCACACCGACATTCTAATGTAAAAAGAAAAACAGAATAATTTAACTTAAGACTAGGCTGTATGGGCATTGTTCCCCTTGCCTTCCCTGAAAAGGGAGAACATAACCAAAAAAAAAATATTATCGATGTCACTTTTACTGCGTTTGAGTCGATCTGGTAGTTTTATCGTTTAATTAATTCAACACGTCTATAATAAGTATTGACAGTAATGACATAGTGATTCTTTTCTGTAGATTATCAAGTGACTTTGAAGTGCCGTGTCGAGACAGTGACTCTGTAGACGCCAGCCGGCGTTGAAATTATAATAACATTCAAACCTAATTATAATTTAAATAGTGATACTACAATATCACGGCTCTTACAATGTACCTGCGACATTTATAATAATACACGCTGATACAAAATTTCTAAAATGTTATCATAAGGCGTTTTCCAACTTACGTAATTTTTTGTAGGTTAGGAAAATTTCAACCCGGCCATCAGGGCCGTGGTAGCATAATTGGTCAGTGCATTCGCCCGGATTGCGAAGGGTGCGGGTTCGCGTCCCGTCCGCTGCCTGGTCCGCGTGGATTTTTTTCTAGTAAAACTTTTCATTAGATTTAAACATCTAAATCTGTTAAATGCTTAAAAAAATAAAAACATAATTATGTGTTATTTTCTATAATGTGGTTAAACATTGATAATTTATTTTTTATAGTAAAAAGTTTGATAAAAACTAAGCTCTTGAGAGTAAATTTGATTTGATGCAAGTTGGTACGGATCTCCTAAGAAAAATGTGCTTTGTCCTTTATGCAGTGAACCTCTTCTATCAACAAAAGGTGAACCTACATAAATATTATTTTTCCGAGCCGTCTGTCAACACAGTAGTTAAGTCTCTGTCAGCTATAAAGATACATCAAATTATGTAATAGAAGGTGTTAACTCCAGGAAATAATAATCCCAATCCTTTACAAGCATTTAATCTTCAATTAATTTTATAATAACAGATTTGCTAATATTAATATAATGTATTCTTTATGCAATCAAACGAAGCGAGTACAATTTTCTGTCTTGTCTGCTCTCAAGAGCCGTTATAATAAAAAACGATTGTTGCCAACAACGCCCGTCGGCCGCTGTCGTGATCATTCGGTAGTGTTCGGCGGTTTGCGTATTTCTCGCGCGCAGTTCAAGCGCGAACAGAAGGAGACTTCACTAACTCCCTACTCCTTTTTCATTTCGACGTTACTGTAAATGGTTACCATTACCTTTTGGTTGTGTTGTGTTTCTGTTGGTGAGTAAGGTTCCAGGGTTCCACGGGGTAGGGGATTGGGGTCATCCATAAACTACGTCACACGAATTTCATGATTTTTTGCCCCTCCCCCCGTCCTTGTCACAGCTGGTCACATTTATGAGACTCCCCCCCTCCCTAGTGTGACGTCACATATTTTACAAAATTTAGAAATTATTGAATGTAAACAGCGGATCTGAAATTAGTTTTATTTTCATTCAAATTTGTTTTTTAATAATATTAACATCAAATCCAACAATTTAACAAAACAAATATGAATAGCATTATGATTACATTAAAGATACAAACTTAATAATCTTGAGTCCATAGACATTGAGCCCGCTTCTTTAAATTATTTATAACAGGCATAGCACCACTTAGTTCTCGTTTGGGTTCTTTATGTTTTCGTAAAGTTATAGTTTCAACATTTCGATTATAATAGATTTTTAAATGTGACGTCACGAAATTTAGGACCCCTCCCAGCCCCTTGTCACACAATGTCACACTTCTTCGACTGACGTCACGAAATTTAGGACCCCTCCCAGCCCCTTGTCACACAATGTCACACTTCTTCGACCACCTCCCTCCCCCTTAACGTGTGACGTAATTTATGGATGGCCCCATAGGGTCAGGGTAAGCAACGGTGCAAGTGATGTACGCCGGTGGCCGCCACACGCTACAAATCGTCGTTGCTCGCTTCTTGTTACTTAATGCGCCGATACAAAACGCCGCCACACGTCACTCGCGCGATTCCCCACCCTTCTCTCCCTTACCTTAGTCGGCCGCTGTCGCGCGCTTCAGCCACTTTAGTAGCCGTTTCTAGTGGCGGCGTTTGTGGCTGTGGCGTGTGGCCCGTGTGAGGCGACACTAACATTCGTCAAGAGTATCACACAGATAGGTCCCTGATTACACTATGGTTCGCATATATTTGGAAAAAAAAATTAAACCCATAAAGGTAGGCAAAACAGTTCCAAATTAACCGAGGACGATCTGTAATGAGAAATTTCTTACTTTTCAAATTGTATTAATAGCTCAGTAGACTGCATAATCATTAGTACATTCGTTATTGACCTGACGGAAATGATTTCCTAGGTTTTCTTCCTTTGAAATTCTGTAGGTAGTCTGAGGAGCTCGATGGCGCAAATGGTTAGCGCGTTCGACTGCGATCGTTGAAGTTAAGCAACTTTCGCAGTGGTCGGTCATTGGATGGGTGACCCAAAAATTTACTATCTTGAGTTCCTCCGTGCTTCGGAAAGCACGTTAAGCCGTTGGTCCCGGCTGCAGCTTCAGTCGTTAGCACCCGCCAATCCGCACTGGCGTGGTGGGTCATGGCCCAATCTCCCTATTCCATCCATACGGAAGACCTGTGCCCAGCAGTTATGACATTAATAGGCTGATGATGATGATGAAAAGTCTGTAGGTTGTGGTGGCCGCTTACCAGGCGGGTCATAACTTTGTTTGCCGTTTGTAAACCGCGCGGACTGCTTAACGGCTTCTCCGTTTCTCACCCGTGAGACTTGCAAGAGCCTAGGCGTGAGGTCCGTTCGTTGGTGTGCCCCTTAAGGGCGCCAACGTCTGTACTTAGAGGTTAATTTCGTATAACGAAATTGTTCCCCTATAATTTTATTTATTTATTTAATTCTTTACCAAAATCCACATCATTTTAATATAATACAGGTTTTACAATATTGTTTATTTTAATATCAATAATGGATTTTTTAGTTATAGCATAAAAGTTTAAAAAACCCTCTACTAAACAAGGGGAGATGTGTGCAATGCGCGCGCGCCATTGTACATGTACACGTGTGTGTGTGTGTGTTTGTGTGTATATATATATGCATGTGTATGTATTTAATTTTTGTTTGTATATTACCAATCAACTAACAGCTCTAAAAGTTGTTTTTTGAAAGATGCTTTACTTTTGCAAGCAAATATGGCAACAGCCGTGAAATGTAAGTACTTTGCGATCGAAAAACAATTGAGTTTTGTGCATAGCTGATGTGGCATGAAGGAATAGCGTGTTAAAAATGAAGAGGCAAGCTCAGTGCAGTCTTTAGTCCCATTGCAAACGTCGTAAAGAAATGTCATTTCGAGCATAGTGCGCCTGTCCTCAATAGGGACCAAACGATGGAAACGACATCCTTCCCTATAGTCCGTACAGTTATTTCTTTTTCTGTAATTAAGATGATTAACAAATTTTCACTGTATCGATTCTAAGTCATGTTTATAGGTAATGTATTGTGGATTCCAAATATTGCAGCAATATTCAAGAATACTACGACATTATGCAAAGTACAGAATCTTTAAACAGAGAGTATCAATAAAAGGCTTGCTAATCCTCAAAATAAACCCTAAATTCTTATAAGCTTAATTGACTTTTGTTACTACGTGGATAGAAAAAGTGAATTTTTCATCAAAAAGTATACCGAAATCTTTCACCAGATAAGTTTGTGAAATGGATATGCTATTCAAACAATAATCAAACGCAATAGGAACTCTTTTGCGCGTAAAGGTAATTATCAAACACTTGATCACATTGATATTTATTGAAGTGAAACTTCTTTATCGGCGTTGGAAAAAAATTTACCGTCACATTTTTTCGGTTACGCGTCACATTTTTCCGTTACGTGCCATCTTTTTTTTATATTAATAGTTGATAGCTGAATGATCACACTGTCGCCGGCGAGAACTCTCTCTACTCGTTTGTAGCTGAGTGACAATAGTTATTAAAGATAAGACTCGCTCAGCCAAACTCGCATAGCGATACTCGCTCAGCGATACTCGCTCTGCGATACTCGCTCAGCGATTCTCGCTCAGCGATTCTCGCTCAGCGATACTCGCTCAGCGATACTAGCTCAGCTATACTCGCTCGGTTAAGCTGGCTTGGCTGTCAAAAGCCGTGCGCGTGCATTTTAACTCAGGACTGCCAATTCGTTTCTAGTTTCTACTCGCTTATCGTTCATCGTCGGAGGTGGAACATGTGCCTTAGATTACTGAGCCGTGTAATCATAACAGTTTCATAGGCAGTAATTTGTATTCATGTCTATGATAATAAAATCCTTTTGTTTAAACTTTATCTAATTTAACTTTATTTAACCAATTTCTGGAAAGTTGCATGTAGATCATTTTTCGAAAAATAAGGCCATAAAGAAGTTTCATTTCTTACGTGTGTACACTAGTACACGCACACATTTATTTTATTTTGTTGGTAATAAGTTGATAATCTATCTAAGTCCTCCTGAAAGTTTTAGGCAGTCCAAGCTAGATTTTATATACATATAAATTTTAGTATCATCTGCATACATTAGATACTTAACATATCGAAAACACTGACCTATATCGTAGAGGTAAGCAACATACAGAAGAGGACCGATTATCCATTCCTGCGGCACACCGGATGGTATTGTAACATAGTCAGATCTGAGTTCACCCATAACTAGCGCTTGACGTCGATTGCGCAGGTAGGACTCAAACCACCTAAGCAGGTCTCCTCGTATCCTGATGTTTTATTTTAAATCGCCTTGATCTGACCATGGAAGCTGGAAACAGCTAGTGACGTAAAGAATTAAAATTTGTTTCTTGACAATATATCAAGTCTGTTCTCTCTAGTTATAATTTTCATACGTGCGTGCACTTTGAAAACTTTTTAATTCTCTTACTTTCACAAACTCTTTACTTTGTATCTTTATATATATAATTCTTCTGTGAGTGTGTATGTCACTGAACTTCTCTTAAACGACTGGACCGATTTTGATGAAATTTTTTGTGTGTGTTCAAGGGGATCTGAGAATGGTTTAGATTCACAATTTTGTCCGCTGGACAACCCCTATTTTTTTAGGGCGGTACGAAGTTCGCTGGGTCAGCTAGTCTATATATATAAAACTTGGTGACTGACTGGCATGTCAACGCACAGCCCAAACCACTGGACGGGTCGCGCTGAAATTTGGCATGCAGGTAGATGTTATGTCGTAGGCATCCGCTAAGAAAGGATTTTGATCAATTCTACCCCCAAGGGGATAAAATAGGGAATGAAACTTTGTCAACTTTATACCAATCGGGCTGAGACTTTACATGCAGGTATAAGAAGAATCATAGATGAATGTCATTGTGTATAATACAAGCCTGAGAACAAAAACTGTAGTCTACACTTCAGCCCTACACCGAAGCGAAGCGAGGGCGGGCCGCTAGTCTACTTATAAAACTTAAGAACGAATAGGGTTTTTCTATCTTAAGCGAAATGGGAGACAACAATAAAGAAAAGGCGATAAATTAAATAAAAAACATTATTAATGGCTATTCAGTCGTTTGTTTCACTAGGGTTCAGACTTGGGGCAGATGGGCTCCTTGGGCCTGGAAGCCGTTCTCGTTGGCGACGTAGTTGACGGTGTAGACGACGCCGTCGGGGCCGGTGTAGGAGAACTGGCCTCGGACCTCGATGGCTTCGTTTTCAGAGCCGACATTCTTCAGCTGACCTTGCTCCTGGGCGGACTTTCCGTCACTGGTCTGGTACCTGGAAATAGACGTTAGACGTGAGTTCTTGTTTATCTATCTAATATATAAAATTCTCGTGTCGCGGTGTTTGTGGTTAAACTCCTCCGAAACGGCTCGACCGATTTTCGTGAAATTTTATATGCATATTCAGTAGGTCTGAGAATCGGATGTAATCTATTTTTCATCCCCCTAAATGTTAAAGGTAATCCACCCCTAATTTTTTTCTTTTTTAATTTTAGATAAAATTTTATTTTTTTTATATTACATCATACAAAAATACATACAACCCTAAATTGTTACTCTTCTACCACCAACCCCTATTTTTTTATGGCGGTACGAAGTTCGCTGGGTCAGCTAGTATATATATAAAACTCAAAGGTGTCTGACTGACTGACATAGTGATCTATCAACGCACAGCCCAAACCACTGGACGGATCGGGCTGAAATTTGGCATGCAGGTAGATGTTGTAACGTAGGCTCCGCTAAGAAAGGATTTTGACCAATTCTGCCCGAATAAAATATGGAATGAAAGTTTGTATTAAACTTTGTCAATTTTAAACCGATCGGGCTGAGACTTTGCATGCAGGTATAAGAAGAATTATAGATGAATGTCATTGTGAATAACGCGAGCCTGAGAACAAAAACTGTAGTCTACACTTCAGCTATTAATGTCCCCAATGCTGGGGTACAGGCCTTCCCTATGGATGGAATAGGGGATTGGTGAGTTCTTACGACTGCAGATGCAGCACAAACGGCTTAACGTGCCTTCCGAAGCACGGAGAAGTGAGATATAGTAAATTGTTCGAGCTCCTCAGCAAGCTCAAGCGATATATAATATACATGATTCTTTGTTCGTTCACTACCAAAGCAATTGAAAGTGAATTTGAAATTTTATCGCAGAGCGTTGATGGTTAAACAAGCTCCGTAGCGGTTGAACTTTAAAATTTATGTTTATTTTCGTTGCATTTGTTCATTCCACAACTTGCCTGTCAATGAATTCAATCAATTACTAAATCATCATACAGAGACAATGATCTTACATTAACAATACTATAATGTAAATAAAAGTACAATTCCTATATTGATAGAGTAATACAGATAGAGGGTCATTAGTCTGTCAAATCGTCTATGAAAACTGTTCACGTATTCCTTAAAAAGTAGATTACTTTAAAAAAAAATCTTATATATAAAATTCTCGTGTCACAATGTTAGTTACCATACTCCTCCGAAACGGCATGACCGATTTTTATGAAATTTTATATGCATATTTCGTGGGTCTGAGAATCGGCTACTATCTATTTTTCATATCCTTAAGTGATAATGGTTGTCCACCCGTAACGTAGTGTTCTGAAACCTACAATGCGCCTTCGCGTCAAATTTCAAACTATTGGGTATTGTAACGTAGTGTTCTCATATGGGCTAGGAGCAATGTTATCCCAGGAAATTGAAAGAACACTACGTTACACACCCTAAAAATTTATTTGAACAATATTTTTTTTATAATGTGGTATTTATAAATACATACAACCCTAAATTTTCTCTTCTACCACTTGCCACTTTTTTATGGCGGTACGAAGTTCGCTGGGTCAGCTAGTTATACTATAAAATACAACAAAGAATTTATGCATATAAAAACACGAACGTCGTAGTAAATTGTATCAATAAAAATTTAAAAATAGTCTAAACTGGGACCAATCATTTAACTAAACTTTGATAAACAAAACAATTTTTTTCACGATTCGCTTCGCTTTACGTTTGTAGACGTGTCTTGTAATTAATTAAAAAAACACACACAGAACCAGAGTTTGAATAAAAATGCAATTTTCCTTTTGTGATTTGACCCGTTCATAATACGTAGTATTTGAGTATGCTGTCAATCAATAACTTCATTCCTAAACATTTTGTTTGACATAATAAATGTGATTTGTAGGTAGAGTCTGTGCGGAAAGAGAATGGGATTTAGATTGGAGGGCGCTGTAGTGCTTTTCTACCGTATTTGTAAGGTTGTACCCCTTTTAGACATGATTAAATACAAAAAACCGCAAGAAATCACAACAACAAACAAATCCGTATCAATACAAAACTTTGACGTTTTACAGATTGCTGGGTTTGATTGCCAAATAAAAATCTTAATGTTAGTTCCGTTTTTCGACACGCCCATTCTCATTCCGCACAGACTCTATATCTATTTTACTTTAGTGACAATTGCTTTCAATTGTGCATATTAAAAAAAATTGGTCACTAAATTAACTGGCACTAATATAAACATATCAAACCACACTATTTTTATTTACCTGATTTTTAAGTTTCTAATGTAACTGTGGCGGCGACATCTACATGCCCTACATATAACCAACATAGAGGAATTAATCACTCGCCTCTTCAAGAGATGGCGCTACCAGCGCTGCACTCAAATAGTATGGAAACCTACATCGCACAAGTGAAATTCGGCGGACAACAGTTCATATACACAATGCCCGACCAACATCAGTCGGGCCGCGGCCGCCGAGCTAACATCACCCAGCTCGGAGGAAGATCTTCCCCTTTGGCCTTCCTACATAACTCAAAATTCACGGTGTATACTGAATCATATCTATCACATGATGCGATTCATTTTGCGCTATAAGTACAGAGCATTAATAATCTGAAAAAACATCGATGTATTTTTTGATTCGATACATCGCAACTATACATCGATGTCATTCGATGTATCGGATGAAAACATCGATGTATTTTAAACATCGAGTACTTTTTCTGAAATTTTATTACAAAACTCAACTTATGTGTAAAGTGACCCATCTCAAAAGAGGCCATCTTTTCATAGTAAAAAAAAAATACTATTGAAGTTTATGAAAAGACCTTAATCCATAATTTTATTATAGTTTATATATTAATCTTTCATAAAATAAAAGAATTAACTCCTTTCATAATGAGTAGGTAAAAGTAAATACAAGTAAAAGCCATGTGTCAGAAAAATCCGTATTATATTTTTTTACAAAAGATCAAATTAAAAAAACACTAAATAACCCGCAAAATTTTTGCTAAGTCTGTCAAAAGAATATTAGAAATATACTTCAATCTTTGTTTTGTTCACAAAACGAAAAGAAAGAAAAAGTATTTAAAATCTAAAGGTTATTAAATGTTCATAAACATAGAAACTCGTAGTTATTTTTTATTGTCACTGCACTGACTCTTGCGCAGTGCTGCCAACATCGGGTCCATATCAGAGAATTCGGAATAATGATGCTTTCATAATAGTAATAAGTAAAATTTTAGTGGTCAAATTTAAGTTTTTTTACTGAGGTCAAATCAAAGAGGATATTATCACTACGTGGTCAAACTCTATTACCAATTCGATGTTTCTTTAAAACATCGGATCGATTCGATGTTTTTCATTGCAAACATCGATGTTTTCGATGCATCGATGTATATCGAATATCCCTAATTAATATTACAGTATATCCTTACTCATATCGGAAGCCTTCAACGCCGATGTTGTCGTTGTCGTATTTGATGATGGTGGCGTCTTTGGGATCCACGGGGACAGCCAGGACGGCGGCGAACAGGCAAGCGAAGACAATGAACTAGATAGAAAATAGAGAGAAATACAATTAATAAAGAAAACAAATAGTATGAAGTATATCACATATGTCTACTAACTATTAAGTTTTATGACGACCCTGGCCGAGTGGTTTGTACGATGGGTTTTTTTTTTATAGATAGGTCCGACAAATGACTCCACCCCACCTGATGTTAAGTGAAGGTGAAGTCCAGACGTGAAGATAGCTGATACAGCAGTTCTACCTACCACACCAGCCATCCTCACCCTGCCGGCCTGCATGTTGCTTCTTCACGCCTCTTTTAAAGGATCCCAGGTTGCAAGAGGGAGGGAACACGTGAGCATGGTTTCATGGTGTCACCGACTCGAGAGGTCCCGGGTTCGAATCCCGGTGGGGGCAGTTTGTGTGATAAATACGAGCATTTGTACTCCAGTCATGGATCTTAAATATGTATTTCTATATAAATATACTTATATATGTACAGTATATGTATTCTATCCGTTACCCCTAGTATCCCCATAACACAAGCGTTACAGTGCTTACTTTGGAGCTAGGCTATTGCTGTGAGTGTTGAAAATATTTATTATTTTATATTTATTATTAAGGTTGATGCTGTCCTTACTTGCGCATAAACGGAAAAGATAATAAAAGATGACATGTGACATGATTACACATCTACGTAGTTTAGTTGTCGTCTCTAAATGTAGTCTAAGGGCATATTATGTAGATATTATCTAGTCTTAACAATCCGAATTTAAGCCATGGAACAATAGAAAACAAGGATTATATAAGTTAGTATGGAGATAAAAAGATAAGTAAACAATAGGAATAGCTAAGAAATATTTAAAATTCTTTTTACAATCTACAAATGGCATCAACCATGAATTAGGTTCAGAAGTTCGAAGTTAAAGTGTCGAGACCGTGTTATTAGAAACAAATTTACATTTACATAGACTTTATCGCGTTGAAATAAGGGTGATATTGGTAGTAGAGCTGTCTGTGGAATGGGAATATATATTCATTACTGCCCTAGACGGATCACAAGTGCAAAGTGTTCTACGACAGGTTAATGAGATTTCTGGATGATAATTATGACAAATTAACTTGTACTGTTCTTCAATCGAAAGTAATGATTAGATGATAGTGACTTGAGCTAATTGTTATTAACTATAGAGAAATATTTAATTGGTATTAAATATTTCTCTTTAGTAAAGTACGATAACTCTCAAACTATTAATAACCTTCGCATCACTTTGCAAAAGTTTATCGAAATAACTTACGGATTTCATTTTTGCTGGGGATGGGTGTGTGTTTCTGTGAGGAATGTGTGCCGACTGTGATGTGTCTCGCAATTTAGCACACTTATATACAAATACGGCAAGCCTAAACTTTATTAGTTTGCTCATAGTCAACTGTCATTTTTTTCCTTTCCAATCAAACTTCGGTGTAGCCAATTTAATTTGCCGGCGTTATAATGTCAAATCGAAAGGATATCTTGGCAGTAAAAATTGTGATGTACGACCAATAATATTGATTTTTTTAATTATTTTTTGTTTAGAATAATACTAAATCAATGCTGATACAGATGTTTTAATGTAAATGCAGATACTGTTATAGCCCTAGAAATAGAGTAAAGCTGAATAACAGAAGACGTTTTTTATCAATTAATCGTATTTTTTAAGGTTTCATAAAGGAAAAACTACAAATATTTTGAAATTAACTATAATAATTCAAAAACGGTAAGAGTATCGATGAAAAATTTTAGACAAAAAAGTTAGGGAATTTAGTAATGAAAAAAAGTATTCAAAATCTTTTTTTGCGAAGTCAATAATTTGGGAGATATAGCGATATACGCGTTTACCATTAAGGCGGTCAGTTGTCACCACCCTGCATTCCCTGATTTTTAAACTTAAGCTTCTTATGACCTACAGTACCATTTGTTAAAAAAAAATAGTGTTTGGTAAAACCTCGACTAACCTAAACCTCGGTTTGACGACCTCCGTGGCCGAGTGGTTTGTACGCCGGGTTTCATGGCTGTCGCCGACTCGAGGGGTCCCGGGTTCGAATCCCGGTGGGGGCAGATGTTTGTGTGATGAATACGAGCATTTGTACTCCAGTCATGGATGTTTAATATGTATTTATATAAATATACTTATGTATGTACAGTATATGTATTCTATCCGTTACCCTAGCATCCCATAACACAAGCCTTATAGTGCTTACTTTGGGGCTAGGCTAATTGGTGTGAGTGTCGGAAATATTTATTTATTTATTTAAAATTTTGCATAACGATCAAGTATAACAGCGATCTCTGTTTGGGCTATTAACAAATTGTGACAGAGGCAGTGTTGCCTAGTCCGATTTTAAAAAATCGGGAGGCGTTATAGAAATAAACAGTAGATGTATGAAAAGAGCTACTAGAAAACAGTAGATGCAGAGACGTACTTTTTCCGAATTGGTAAATCAAATCAAGATAAAGACCAGGAGGCCTACTCTGATTTAACGAAAAACGAAAATTCGATAGAAAATTCGCACTTTTCTTACTATGTTTCTGGTTCGTTTTTAATTATAATAATATTCGTCGTCGGAATACAGATTGAGGTGTAGATTTTCTAATCCTACTCAAAGAAAGCTTCTATTTGATAGTTTATTGTTGATATTAAGTAAAACCTTAAGTTGAGGAAATTAAATTTCGTTTGAACTTCGGTATCGAAAGTTCGTTTCGGAGAAAGAGAGTTGACCCCCTGTAACGAATGTGTTTCTTGACTTCTACCGCCCCTCAAAGCTTGTTTTTTTTTAAGCAATAACATTTATCTTATAATAGTTTACCTACATTATTAATGGCGGAAAATGCAACTCAACATGCATTTTAAAAACATGGAAAATCGTATTCTAAGAAAAACAGGAGATTCATGTAGAAAAACAGTAGAACAGGAGAAATTTCATAAAAACAGGTGATCTCCTGTAAAATCTGGAGACCTGGCAACACTGGACTGAGGAGAGAGAACCAATAACAGATTTATCTTAGTTATATAATATGTACGTACTTATTGCACCTTTTGCGATCTGCCAACCTAGCAAAGAAAGGTCAATGGGCAAAACGCACCCAGCTCCGCCAACAATGTAATTAGTATGATTCGATAGATCTATGAAAAACTAGCCTTTTTTATTATGACACCGTAAATAAATATCCTAGGAGTCAAAAGATATGACACCGTAATAAATATCCTGGTAGTCAATAGATATGACACATGGCCATATTTAAGTAGCTGAATAAATTCATTTTATGTTATTAGTAATCATAATAATATGCCATATCGAACTATATAACCAGATATACGACAAAGTCTGTCGACCATCCTGCGCTTGCTCTTACTGAGACATTTCAAAACGGTTTACGGATGCTGAAGGACTTGCAGTTGCAAATAGTCGACTCGTCTTACTTCGTTGTGATTGTGCGCTCCCTGCTACTTGATTGATTTTTATCTAATACGCTTTGGATATTGGAACAAGATTATCGGTTTTGTCAATTATTATGGATGAACTGGAATCATGTGTTCTCCGAAGCGTGGACAAGTTTTTGTAATCTGTGGTCGCTCCGTTTTACATAGAAGACAATTTACTATAACGAACAGAATGATTTAAAAAACCCAACCCAAGCGGGGATTTTTGGATTTACTCTAGCGCGGCAGAATAACATAAGGGGACATCTTTGCACCTTGAGAAGTACTCCCATAATTCCTGAGCACCCTATGTAGGGTCGAACTAACTAAATTAATTCCTTTGCTTCATTAACGTTCGTTCTTTATAGTACTTGTACCTATTTAAGTTAAAATTATTAAAGACCCCCGTTATGGAATTTGATGCACTTTGGCACAGATGATCACGACTATAATACCTTTCAAACAAATGTAGTTTAAGCCGTGGCGGACGTGGGTGCAGCGTCCATACATTTTTGCCCAATGTCAAATATAGATATAATTTTAATCAAAAAAATACTTAACGAAATTATTTGTAATATATATCATGGTATTTATAATTGTATAGTAAAGACCCTTATTTTAATTTAATTTAACTTTAATTTAGTCTTTTGTATAAATTGCATGCCATTTATGGTAAAATATGTAGAATCTATTTGTATACATGTCATCTTATTGTACCATATTTTTTGCAATAAATAAATCTAATCTAATCTATGGAAAGAGACTTCATTATCTCATTTTCTTTTTCAATTTGGCGTTACTGTAAATGATTATACATTAACTTTTGGTTGTCTTTTGTTTCTGTCTGTGAGTAAGGTTCCCTGGATCCGCGGGGCCTTTCCCCCACCCCGCGGAACCTTGGAACCTTACAATAGTACCCAGGGGTGATGACGGGGTACAGTAAACGAAATCCTATATAGTCCGTCATTTAGCTGATCAAAAAATAATGGACACGTATTTTTTCTTTGGGCAATCAACCAAAAAATGATAAAGTTATAGCGCGTCAAAGTTCGGGAGTAGGGGCTCGTGACGTCACTTTTGTTACTTACTTCGTGACGTACTGTAAAACGTTACGTCATGCGAATTTTCAAATCAATTCAATATATTTCTGCAATGTTTATATTATGTGAGAAGAGAAAAAATACGTGTCCAATACTTTTTGATAATCTACCTGATAAACGAAGAAAAAAAAATTAGTCATCATCCCTATTACGAAAACTATGATAGTTTTCGTGAGCTCGCACTCTTACTAAGGGTACTGATTGTATTGTTTTCGTTTCAATACAAATAAACAGTGTATAAATTCTATCATTAAATCATTTGCGTTTTCTTAAATTTTAAGTCTATTTAATTACTTTTCACCAAAATGGACATAGAAACATAATTTACAATTACGAAAACTATGATAGTTTTCGTGAGCTCAAACTCGTAATAAGGGTACAGGGTAGGCAACATTTTTGGAACGAAGTTCCTTACGGCAGGCTTGGAGGGGATAGGGATTTTGCTGCGCGACCGAACTGAAAAAAATGTGATAGTAAAACCGTAAGAAAAAATCCGTGGAAAAAAGTGCGTGGAATAAAACCTTTAAATGAGACGTGCGCAGGCGCGACAGTCGCATACACAAGTGAGTTTGCAATTTGTGATTCTACATTAGCCGAAGGAACTTCGTTCCTACCTGGTGTCCCACGACACCACATCATTTTTTTATAATATTTTTGGTATCGTCTGTAGTTTGTGGTGGCCGCTTACCATCAGGCGGGCCATTACATTGTTTGCAACCCTTTTAACATAAAAAAAATTGTAAGCATGACAAGGAGAAAAAACACATGTTTTCTGAGATAGACCACGTAGCAAAAATGATTTTAAAATTATAGTTTTCACGGCTACCCTTTTCTAAGTGCGCTTGGCTTCGGACAGGGAGAATTGAGTTGAACTGTCAAGTGTGTCCACGTTACCAGACGATCCGATTTTGGCGGGACGTCCCGGTTTTTAAAACAAAATTAAATGTCCCGCGCGGGACAGGATCAATCCCGCTTTTCGGGAATAACTCGACCGTGCGTGCAGCATACTGAGAAAGCGCGGGCTGCCCGGGGCGTAATGAAGAACTCTCAAAAAAGAGTCAACTATGTATTTACCGATAGGGTAAATGTGATTTAAAATATAATATTTTTATTAAAAAACATTTTCTATCGCTATTTTTACTAGGTACCTATCTATTGTCAAGGAAACGTAATTTGAAATCAAATAAATATTCAAAATCTTTTGATTCGATACGTTTTTTTACTATATCCCGCTTTACACGAAAGAATCCCGCTTTTTTCACTCAAAAAGTTCCTAAATCCCGAATTGGCTGAAAAAAAATCTGGCAACGCTGACTGGCATCATAATTTCGAACCCCATCGCAATACGTAACAATATTCATGACCTATACTTATTATATATATTTTAAGATATCGATGTCCAAGTTGTAATTCACAGAAGCAATCCTACTATTATTAATAACGTGACAGTTTGTATGTTTGTTCCTCAATCACGCAAAAACCCTTAGGTTCCTCTGGGACTCTCAAAAAACTAAAAATACGAAACGAAGATGAAATTGCGGGCGGCCTCTAATCTATTCTATACTTATAATAAATCTGTAGAGAGGTCAATTCTGTACATGAAATATATTTTCAAAATAACTATCAGGGTGTGATTAGTGATCGATACTGATGCCAAAAATGGAATCAGTAAAATTTTTGTCTGTCTGTCTGTCTGTCTGTGTGTATGTTCCTTATAGAAACAAAAACTACTCGACGGATTTTAACGAAACTTGGTACAATTATTCTTCATACTCCTGGGCAGGTTATAGTATACTTTTCATCACGCTACAATCAATAGCAGCAGAGTAGTGAAGGGAAATGTTGGGAAAACGGGAGAAGT